GCTGGGGAGTGCATACGGGTGGGCCAAAGCAACAGCACTACCTCTTAATAGCTATTGGCGGGGACTGCAGTCATCCAGCATCCACAGTGTGCCCTCTGTGGTGTGATTTCTGCTGTGACCTTTGGAGTGTGCCCAGCTGTGTGCCGTCGACCGGGGTGGTTGGCTGGGCGGTGTCCCCAGGAGTGGAGAGCCAAGCTTACACTGCCTGGGGTGTCGCTCCTCAGAGGGAAAGAGGGGCTCTGGCACCTCCTCATTCTCTGTCCACCTAGCAGCTGACCATCAGTGTCTTCCAGCAGAAAAAACATGTTTTGTCTTGTTGCTGTTAGCGTGACGTAGAGTCAAGGAAATCACCTGTAACGCATATCACACAGTGGAAAAGTGTACAAGTCAGGAGCAATAATTGTGTTAACATTCAATGGAAATCAGTGTTGCGTGTTTGTTTGTATATTAAGAGCAGTCAAACTGCCGTAATTGTCGTCTTAGCTGAGCAGCCCCTGCAGAATGGGAGATAGAGAGCCTGCTTCCCCACTTTTTCACCCCCTGCCTGTCCTTCTTGCTCCTCTGCCTTAAGCACTGTCCATCTGGACAGCCAGAACCATTCCCCGTTTTGTAGCTCGTCGGGTGGGACGTTAAAACCACATGCGACCAGCTTTTGTACAACTTTCTTTCCCTGCCATTTTTGCTCTCAAGGGTTATCCACATACTGTGCACATGTTTGGCAACTGGTGAAACAGATACTTGAGTTTGTTCTGCTCGTGATTCTCCCACTCTGTCAGTGGGTGGCCATGTCGTAGTTTTTTGCTGTCGTCATGCTGTCGGTGTTGGGTGTGCATTATTTCTCAAAATTTCCTTAGTGGTTACTTTCTGCCCTGACAACTGATGTCTGCAGGGCCGTCTCTGGCCTTGAAAAATTCTGGGGCACTGCCCCTAAGTATTGTCCTGTGCTGTGGCACCTCTGGTTCTTTGTTTGGCTGTGCATTGCAGCTTTGTGCCATGGTGAAATACATTGTGTACCATGGCTAAATGGCAAAGCATTACTGATAGCAGGAAAATGGGTTGTGTGCAATTCTAATGTTACATGCCACACGCTATCAATGGCATAATATGGCATTATGTATGCAACCTAAGGCAAATTTTTGGTGTCAGAAATACCAATTTGTTAAGAAATTGCATAAACAGATTGCGCTTGTAGGTTGCAAGTTGCTCCACAAGAGTGCACTCACGATAACTATTGCAGTGCTTCGCCTTTTGCCACTGGAACAGTTTGCAACCACTATGTATTATCAGTAGCCATTAATTGTGTGGCTGAAAGTTCATTTTTCAAAGGGCATATGCTGTCAAACAGTTGCCCAAATGGCCAATGCTGCTCCATGCACAGCACCAAAATGTTCCATTTGGCTAGGAAAGTACAAGTTGGTTTTGCAGGATGCTGGGTTACATAGTCGGCCCATGCTAGTTTGCTGATCAGTGTTGTCACCAAACTTAGCATCTGCCCTTGTTCTTTGTACATTTTTTTTTTGGAGGGGCATGGAAAAAAACTATGCAGAGGTGATGGGTTTATACACAGCCAGTGACTCAAAGTCATAGTTAAAATGAAAAACAGTTTTTATTTGGTGGATAAGCAATATTTGCTCCTCACTATGGAGATTCGTAATTTTTCTTTGTACAAATAATCAAGTGCTCTATGTTGAAATAAAGAATTTTAACAATGTAGCTTGTGCAAGTTTGTTTCATTCTTGCTATTGTGTGCAAGATTTCATTGGCAGTGGAACAGTACCAGTACTTGGCAACATTCTTACTCTCTTCAAGTGAGAACTGCATCGAAAAATACTTGCTATTGATATACAAGGTCTCCTAAAAGTGTGTGTAGCATGTTTTCAAATCTAGCTTCATGAACGTTTAGGTATGTTAATGGCGAACCATTCTTGGAGCCACATTACATTGGTTCCACCCTTGCCATTGCTGCATGACTTCTTGAAGCAATCTGTTGATACTCAATGTTTTCTTTGAAGTAGTCATTACATCCTCGAAGTGGCACCTCCCAAGTTTCTATTTGCATTAGGTAACAGTCTCTAGGATGGGGAAACTAAATCTGGTAAGTTTGGAGTGTGTTGCACAACAGTGGAATTTATGGAAAAGATATTGCACTATTAAATCTCAGTACTAAAAAGTGTTATTATACTGCAGAACCCAGCATTTTTCTTTTGAGAAATATTGTTGCACGCAGGCTCGCAATGTTTGAGGTGCATCAGAACATCTATGTTGGCGGCCACTTTGGCAGTCGATTGTAGCGTACAAGTTTGTGGCACAGTTTCTCAGCAATTGCAATGGCTAAAAAAAGTGCACCGCTTACACCAGAAGATCAGCTGGGCTGTACAAGGCGAGAAGCACCTCTACACACTCTTTCTCTTAGGTTAGGACAGTGCATGAACTTCTGAGAGACAATAAACAATTATGAGATTTTACATAACTATGCAATATTAGGCATAGTTCATTGGAGGCTTTTGGATTAATTTTGATAACCTGGGGTTCCAATGTTAAAAGTAGGCAGGCATTTTTACTATTCACATTCAATTAAATGCAGCCATGGGAGCCAGAATGTAATACTGCAACCTCATGCCGAGAAGCATGATGCCAAAGTTTCGAAGCCGTTGCAGTAGGTACCTTGAAATGAACCATTGCAACTGCAGACCATTGTTGGTGTTGTCTTTACTAAGCAATCAACTATCCTATGCACTTCTACTTGACCAGCTCATTTAGTAACGTATATATCGATACTGTGAATAGCTAGGGAAACGCTATTATCTTGTTGCCCAATTAATACAGGATATTACTTGCAGAAGCAAGCCACTTGTGATCCATTATGCGAGGTGCATAATACACAAACCTAGTTTGGGAGGGGGGGTGAAATCATGTGTAGAGGATGCACACTAGTGTGGGACCTAACTGCAAAGACTTGAGACTTGCTTTGACACCAAGTATTATGAAACTTTGCATATGTGTAGCACGGGTATAGTACTGTAGATGGCTTGAGCCATTTGGTAACCATACTTGTGCCTTTGAGAAAACAGTGGCATGAGGTCAGGAAAGACTAATTTCTGCTTTTCAAAAGGAGGCCGCAGGACATTCTCGGCAAAAGCTGGAGTAGCAGCCTTTCTAGAGCCTCTCCCCTAGGTCGGCTGCTACAACTACAGTTGCAAGGTACCCACTATGCCATAATAATTTTGGGAAGTAGGGAATTACCCCCCTTACCATTATTTATCAGTCTGTAGAAGGAAGTACCCAAACTACACATCTGTAAGCCATTGTGTGTGCTTTGGTGATCATGTGGTTAGAGGCGACAAAGAATTTAAACTGAGCCATTCGTAATGAACGGGGAGTTTTATATCGCCAGCCTATCATGCAATTCTTACAACACTGAACTGCCATGCAGGGCTTGAATGCTGCTTGATCCTGTATATTTTTTTCTGATTGTACAAAAGCAGTTATGCACACAGGTGGTGACAGACAACTAAGCCTTAAAATCGGTTGCTGTAGTGATCTCGTAATGGCTCTGCTGTAAATGTGGGCATAGCTCAACAACAGTGTGGAAGGGCAGACAAATGGGAGAGTGAAAAAAAGATCAAGGAAAAGAAAGGTCATGTATCAAGGCTAGAGTGCTGCACACTAAGCACCAGTCAAGGTACCTTTTTTTGCCTGTAGGAAGACTGCAGGGTGCCCGGTGGCCCTGGAAATCGAACCCAGTACCTCCTGCATTGGAAGTTTGCACTCTATCATTCCACCACAGCTGTGGTAAATTGGGGAGTCCCATCATTGCACCACCCGACTAAAATAGGAGGTCGTTGAAGCTTAGCCTTTAAGGGTTGATTGAGCACAACAGCGTCATGATCAACGACGCCGAATTTCTGTGCCAGGTTTCTTAAAGCAAAACCACGAGAGTGCGACACCATTTTGCCGTAGCACTCATAAATGCAATGTTTCCAACTCTTGTAGAGGACAATACGAGCTGCGCTGACGGCGTGTGGGCAGGTAACAATGGCACACATCGACTGTGTAGTCATGTGGGTTTTGCAAGCACACTCCTTTTGCATCTGGAAGGCCTGCCTTGGTTCGACCTTATGACCAAAATTTTTCCCGATTTCCTTTTCAGCTTGGTTACTCCACTTTGTTTGCCGGAGCTGCCCTGACAGTCTTGGAGTCAATCAGGAAATTCATTGACCTTTTCACATCCTTGGCATCCATTGGCATTTTCATTCATGGAAAACAATGCCACTGACACTAGACTATCTGCTGTGCACGCTCTTTAACACAACAGTTTGATTTTTTTCCCATAAAATGCACAGACACCTGTAATTACAGCACATTTAATCTGCATCTAATTCAATCAGAACTAAGTTCAAAAGAATACATGTTTTCATTAGCCAGAATACCATGTTTTTTTTAACCCATCAGCAGTTTGATCTGTGCAGCAGCAGTGCTCATGGTACGGAACCGGTGCATAATGGGATGTTGCCTGAAGTTATGCAATTATTTTTCAGATTCTGTTGGTGCTGCTGTTGTCTACAAACCTTCAATCACAATCTGAATATTTAACCAGAAAGTTTTAGCATACATATTGCATATAGTAAGGTTGGCAGGTAATCATGGTTGTGTATATAAATTGTGCTGCTTTCTAAAAAAATAAATATTCAAAAGAGTATTTCACTAAGACAAGCACTTCTGGCATGACTATTGTCAAAAATTATCAAGCTTTCTTTTCACTAACTATTGCATTTAGGCACGTTTTTGGGGATTTAAGTCAGCATGACAAACAAAAAAAGAAAAACCACAAACAGCATCTGTAGTGTAGCTTGTTTCACAAGATGCTGCAGGTCCTCTAGGGGTTTTATTTTTATTTGGAACATTATCCTCAGTGCCATCTTAGGCAATATTGCTTAAGACTGCAACCTATAAGAGCATTTGGTATTAATCAGGCTGACCAATGACACAAAACACTGCAATGCTGAATAGAAATAAATTTTATTGTAGATAGGAATGTGCAACAGCACTATTTCTATGGCGTATTTCTTGGCACATAATAAATATGGCAATCATATTGGTCGAAAACAATTGCAAAATGTGTACTTCGTCCTGAAGTTGCAGGGGTATATAATGGGGTATGTGTGAAGTTCGTCAGAGCGAAAATCGAAGTTGAAATTTGCTTCTTGCTCAGAGGTAAACTACAGGCACATGCATCAAGCACCTGCCATAGGCACACTATGTGTATTGTAGTAAAGAAATTGCACAGCCCCCCAGTAACATACTAAAAGTCCAGTGGCAGTAAAATTCTAAACATGCAAACTTCTACACGTTCATAAACTTCTGCCTGAAAGGGGCCCCGAAACACTTTTTTGAGTAACCATGGACTTATTTCACTGGAAGAGCTCATTGCTTCACAAATTGAACACTACAAAAATTTTAAGAATCCGTCCAATACAAGCGGAATTGCAAAGACTTGTCACACGCTGCAATCCCTTTCTCTCTTCTCTCGTCCTGACAAAAGCGTTGGAAGCTAAACAGGGAGGGATGGGAGGGGCAAACAAAATATGTGGTGCGCACCTCTTGACCTTGAGCATTTTTTTCTTTTTTTTTTCCTTCGAATACACCACTCTTTCAGTGCGATCGCGCGCGCACGCGTGGACAAGTGACGGTCTTCCGCGGCGATCTCCGTAAGGATCGAGAGCGTCATGTTCAAATTAGCCAATGGCTGATTTGAACAGTGGTCTTTCTACGAATGATTTTTTGAGCGTCTTTTGCCATTTGCTGAGCGAAGAGAAAGCAATTTTTAGCTGACTTTGATAATTTATTGTGAATTTCAGGCCCCGTGCTGCACTATAGCATTTGGCTCATGTATTCTCGGGAGCCGCTACTACCGATCGGCAGCGTTTTCCGACCATGCTCAAAAAGTGTTGCAGGGCACCTTTAAACGGCAGTTAAGCGCTGTATTTGGCTATGTTGCACAGCTGCCTTTAGTGATTGAGTTATATTAGAAAGCGGCTATTTAAAAAAAAAGGACTAGCGCAGTCACAAGTGTCTTGACCAAAATGTGTCGGACTAGTGCTACAGGGCGAATGCTTTGTAAAGCAGCTGTACTTGTCCTGACCTTGGCACTTCAAAACTGGAGCTGCAAGAGCAGACCCAATGAAACTACAGTGTAATAAAAAACAAACTTCCCTTGCATTAAAATGTTCTTTTACACAAAACAGCGATTGCTGTTCTCACTAGCTACCCACAAGTAGCATACAACGGTTTTGCAATGCTATGCTGTAGGCAGTACTTTGCACAATGCTCCACAGCCAGCTACACCAAGACGTATATGACGAGGATTAGCCCCAGTTCCAACAAACTGTGCAGATGTGCTTTACATTCAGCTAAGACTGTGTGTCAATGCAGAATAGTGCATATGATGAACTGCATAAAGAAATCGCAATACAGCTTGCCACATCATTTGACTATTGTGGCTGTTGTTTCTTGTTTTTGCCACAGCCTGATTGTCAGACGAAGTAAGAAATGATGTGCCTTCAGTGGTTGGCCCTCAGAGTCTTCGCTGTGCTGTTGATTCAAGGATGATGTCATCTCGTTTTCTACTGGGAAAAAGGATGAAATACAATTAACATTTGCAGCGATGAATTTACAGGCAGAGCTTTTACATTTGCAGTGCCAAGAATAGATAGCTTTTTTATCACAAAACAACAGTAGTTTACTGCATTATGAAAGGAAGCTACATATAATAAAGTGAATTTCTGATTAAGTGACCTGCACTTGGCAGCCATGCCTTCATATTGAAATAGTGGTCACTGAAGCATATCAAAATTACTGGTTCACATGCGGTTGGGCGTGGCATTTACGAATGCGTATTCTCATCTCCTTGGAATAGAGAGCACTTCGGCATGCAACATCTGCGCCTGCAAAGAAACGCTCGAGCACATTCTATGCCATTGCCCAGCATACCAGTCTGAACGACGTATTATGGAAGCCAAGCTCTGTCAGCTGAATTTACGGCCGCTTACAGAAGAGAAGATCCTGGGACCTTGGCCGACGATTTCCAATACGCGCAAAGCCACGAAAGCCCTCTTGTACTTTTTAAGGACCACCAGACTTCAAAACCGCTTGTGAAAGAACAGTGTGAGACCGCGCTGTGTAGTCTTGAGCTGAACATTCATCCTTCTGATTCTTACTCCTCTTCTTTTCTATCTCTTCCCTTTATATTATTCTCCCTTTCCCCCCACCCCAAGTGTAGGGTAGCCAACCGAGCCAAGCTTGGTTAACTTCTCTGCCTTTCCTCTCTATTTATTCATCTCTCTCTGGTTCATTAAGCAGCCATGCCTGCCTCAAATACATTTCACTGTCTTTTTAGTTCATACATTGCTTTTTTTTTAAGGACGATAGTCTTTCTTGGGGACCTTCAAAGCAAAAATTTTTGTCTGTCAGTCTGTACATTTGTCTGTTTGTCCATCCTTAACGATACCCTTAATGGCACCAAACGATTACTCCAAACGGCCGACCCCATCCATAGCGCCCACCAATATTGCTCAAGGTTTAGCGTTCATACTTGTGCGATCTACAATTAAAAAGCAATTATTGCACATATTTGAGGCAATATAACACGTCAATATTCTGTGGTCTTTTTACTAGAAAAGGTATACATAAGTAATTCTAAGAACCGTAGCGCTTATCACGCTGCGCTGGCGATGCAACGCTTGCACAAAAAAGCAAGTGTTTCCAACACTCTGCTAAGACGACACGTTGGTGGCACGTACCCGTCGCCTTGCATTCTACACCTTAGCGATTCTGAGACAAACGCACATGCCGTGCGCTTCGTTTTCCAAGACAACTGCCAGATAGCGCTCATGCCTCACATGTGACGTGCCTTGATGCGCTCGTTTGCCTCCGCTGCACGCTCGAGGCACTCTAACGCAGTGCCAAATAAACGTTTTGTTCGCTCTCTCCAGACGCAAGACTATCGTCTTTCGACCACATTTGCAGTGTAACATGCAGATACGGGGCCAAATTTTTGTTTACATGTTTTCATAAGTTTAGTTTCTCTACTTTCATGACAAAAAAACTGAAGATTGTTGTTAAACTCAAAGTAGGTAAAATCTCTTATAGAGTGCAAAGTGGCCACTAAAAATTGAAAAGAGCTCATTGTCCATAGTCCCCTAGAAACTGTCACCTGGCTTCTTGCTCTGAATTTCCCGAAAGGAGTTCGCTAAAGCCACATACTCAAAATAACCATAATTGTCAGGGTCCTATGATAGAAGAAATCTTCTTTAAAAACACATATTTCCTGCATAGATGATCTTTCACTTGTACTTTTAAATGCGCTTTTCTTGCGATCCATTTTCGAGCAACTTCTCAAGTTTGGAAACCATGTTTTTCGCACTTCTGATAGTCTGATAGGGATGAAATTTTGCCCACATATTCCTTAACATGTGAAGGGGGTAATATGTCTTTTAAAACTTGATATCGCTGGTATAATTACTAAGAACCTAGAGTAAGCAATTAGCATGAGCTGATTATTTTCAGGAATTCTCGCATTGCAATTTCTTTTGTCCATTAAAATGTCTGATACACTTTCTTGATGGTCATCTGCATTCCATTGTTAATGTAGAGCAATAAAAGCTATTAATGACTCAGAACCATAAAAGTTTAGTGGCATAAAAGGTTTGTCTATAACGAATTAGGCTTTACAGATTGTCATGGCATAAAATGAAAACTGTGTAGCTTACTATAAAGCTAACTACATAGTATTTGAGATCAGCATAGAAGCCTACATATACAGCAAAAATTTTATTGCCCTAGGCAGCAGATTAACACAAAATTTTTGCCTAATTGCTTCTCCCCTTAAAGAAGTGTCCCTGCATCCACAGAGCTCAAAGACTGAAACATGACAATTTAGGTCTCAGTAGCGCACAATCATGAGGTTGAATCCTAGTGGCTTAATTCTGACTGGAATACTTTCATTAGAGGCAGCATTATTTTTAATGGCCAGATTTGTAGCTATTTTATGTGGTTATTTTGAATGATTACACATATCAGCCAACATACTAAAACTTGATGACACATTTCGATCAGTGAGTACAGCCCATTTGTAAAACAAGAGTGCACACATACATAAAAAATAAAAACCTGAACTCACATAAGACGTTAGTCACATACACATACAGGTACCTGAGCGTGTAGATATTATTTTATGGGGGAGTTGGACATTGATTCCAAGTCCCCAACAAAAAAGTCTACGTGAAGACTGGCTAGAAGCTCTGCTGTGTCTGTGCATAACTGCACCACATATGCCCTGGAGGAGTCAAAAGTTCCCGGGCTACTATCCCGTGTATTTCTATGAAAGTATGGTATGGGAACTTTTGACCAGGACTGTACATTCATACTGCCAAGTACAGCTTTCATTTATTATCAAAGTTGTTTGTCCCTCTCTCTCTCTCCCCAAGGATTTAAAATTTTATACATGTTGCAACACATTCTTTAGTATAGTAACATAATTAAAACGTACCTCCAGAAGTTAATTAAGCGATCCGCTTCTCGGAACCCCGACCTCATCGCTCCATGGACAGTTGAGTAGAAGTCCTTATCAGTAGCTTCACCAGCGAAGAGAACAAGGGGCCACTGTAACAAATAATTTGAATATAGTGCGACACCAGCACACAGAATTTTCATACCTCTACTCTGGTTACTCGATGCAGTGGGGCATCGGCCACTAGAGGTTCATAAAAGGTCTCCAGGAGGGTGTCCGATGTGCCATATGGTAGCTGTCTGTTGCTATAGCTTCCCAAAATGTAGGGGTTCGTGAACCAGTATGACCTGAAATAAGATTTAGACGTAACGTAGCAGAAGCTAGAATTGTCATGTGTGCCACCCACCTGATAATGGACACAGGTTCGGGGATGTCTCGACCGAGGAACGTGGTCAGGACGTGGACACAGGCACGGAGGACTTCATGGTCACTCAATGTCTCCATATGTTCAGCTGCCTTGCCACCAATCCAACCCACAAGAACATTGGGATTTTTGTACACAAGATCGAATCCAGATATACCCCGAACCCACCAGTTTGGATCAGCTGTGTCTTCCGAGTCACCATCAAGCCACACTAACTGAAACCCTTCGGCTCCCGTGTCCCAAAAGGGCTGCTCAAAGACGAGAAATATTTTGTTTATAGTACCAAAGCCAATGCCACGCAGTGCTTGACACTTCTTATCTGGAAGCTTTGGCTCGAACATGTCATCCAGATGCTGTTTGAGGTAACCTGCAGACATAGTTAGGAGCAAGTGCCTGCACGACATAATTTCACCGTCCTCACATTCTACAAATGGAATACTTTCCAAGACAGTCTCTTGTGAGTTACTGATTGAGGAGCGAGCCATTTTCGTACACGAAGAGACTGCACTGTTGTGCCAATAGATTCGCTTGACAGCCTTGTTGTAGCGGATGTTGGCTTCAGGAATATGCTCCAAGAGACTATTGATGTGCACAATGTTGGCTTTCAGGCAATGCTCCAAGAGACTATTGATCACACTAGAAAAGCCATGCCGTAAGTTGATGTTCCAAACGCCAGGACATTCCTCAAATTCCTCGTAGCTTTTGAATGAGAGCTCATCCAGACTATAGCAGGAGTTATCAATAACCTCAAAACGCCAATACCAGTCATAAATGGCCCACTTGACCTTGACTATGTCGGCTGTATCACTTTTCAGCTCAAGATGCTCAAGAAAGCGTGAACGCAAGTACTCTCCAACTGATATGGGCAACTCATTGAGCACAAACACTTCCCGATTTCCTTCAAGCCGAGGTCGCCGTCCCCCCAGTTCCTCCTTTATCTGGTTTAGCACAGTGATGACCTCGTCAACCAACTCTTGGGGTAACCGAGTTCCTTGTTCTGTGCAAAAAATACCACGGCCCTCAAGGGAATGATGCCTTCGTGGGTCGGCCAACAGGTCTTTTGATAATGCATATCTATACAGGGGGTTTCCCTCCTCACCGTGGACCCACTGGGCACCCAACTCCAGGACTCTGTTGTCTACATAAGAAAAAAAGGCAAACAATGTCAACATAAGGAAGAACAATGGAGGCAGCTCACGAGAGAAATAAGCAATCTAAACAAGGATGTTGCATGGCAACATCTAAATATATGTGCTGCTATTACTAGTAAATTACCGTGGATGAATAAACTTAAAGCAACTATAGTAGTACTGTATATTTGAAACGATAGTTTTATCACTACCTAACTAAACAAAGCCTATAACACACAATAAGAACAGCTGCTATTTCTTTTACACACATTTCTACACATCTTGCATCATTTGAAAAGGAAACAATTTCCTTACAGTGTACTTAAGGAATCTGGTATGAATAAGATAATAAGAGAGACAATGGAGAGGTTGAAGAGTAGTGACATGAAAATTTTCACTTTTTTTGCATTGAGTGAAAGCCCAAGTCCTCAAGAGTCTAGAAAATGTACTGGTAGGCATGAGAGCACGCTGCAAAATTGATTACAATATGTTCTAAAAAGCTTTGGCTCCTGGTGTACCTTGATGTCACGACACAACATGAAGCAATGCGAATGAGCTTTGCGGGATCCTGCAAGGTGGAGAGAGGGCTGAAAAAGGGGAAAAAACCCTGGACCAGGATGAGTTTTTCAGCAATAAGATGCTTTTCTTTCTAAAAAATTCGTACAGATTCCTTTATAGCTTTCTGCTACAAACAGGCAATTGTCTGTTTACCTTTTTGAACCCTTCCACCATTTTGCGGGATTCTAAAAAGCTCATTTCCATTACTTGAGTCTCACGTGCTTTCAGTTGTCGATGAATTCACCCTCATGCTACCAATTGCTAGCTTCCGGGTTAGTTCAATTGGTAGAGCGACCCCCTTGAAAAGGTGTTGATCCCAGGTTCAAGCCCCAGACCAGCAATTTTTTGGCAACTAAAGAGCTTTTCTTTCTGAGAAATTTGTACAGATTTCCTCGTGGCTTCATGCTACAATCATGTGGTTTCTTTTCCCTTACTTGACAGGATATAAGCTTGATGACATGTGCTTGCACATGATATTGTAGAGTTCCCACAGCCTCTGTGCTACCTGCCTCAATCAGTGACACACAAATGGCCATTTTGTATGGTATTGTGCCCAACCTAATCATAACTACTCATACAGTCGTGTTAAGTCAAATACTACTCATACAGTTGTGTTAAGTCAAATTAACACTAGCGTGACATCATGCTACCGTTAATACCAGCGAGTCATCCAAGTTCAATCAACTAAGTTCAATGGCAAAACCAAAACTGAAGCACCGATAAGCACAACAAGCAGACAAGAATGACATCACTATTCAAGACAATCATTGCAGAGGTGTAGTTCCATGTTTGTTAACGTAAGTGTGCCATGCGTGCTATAATAGCACAGCCCACACACTGACACAAGGAAGTTAGTTAATAGTTGATATAACAATGCTCACACATTTTTGATGTCTCAGAAGAATATGGTAGTTGTGCTCTTCTGCATTTCAGTTTCAGTTTTGCTGCTGAATTTGGGTGAATTTCATTACTTCGCAATCATTACTATAGGCTGCTTTTTCAAAATCTCAAAGCTGCCATGGGTTCCTTGCATGAAGGACTTCGACTCTCCTAACACAATATCTGGTGTTTTACGTCACAAAACCACGATATGATTATGAGGGATGCCTTAGCAGAGTGCTCCAGAAATTTTCACTATCTCGTGTTCTTTAACTCTTTCATTACCACATTTATTCAAATCGATCATTGGTGATCGATGCTTTGGATCATCGATTTTGGCATGTTGAATTTGTTTATCATGTACCCAGAAATTTCTAGTATTTAGTAAAAAAAACCCGAAAAAAGTGCATCAGTTTACTTGTGTCTCATGAAAAGCAAACCAATGCTTCACCGCATGCACGAGCGATGAAGCAGCACCTCGGTACGGGTTTTCTTTGCCTATGTGAATAGCAAAAATTTATACATAATTTATTATTTTTGATACTTTTCCTTGGTCATTTATTTTTAAAATGTATATTCTGAATTTTTTTTGTTTTGAATATTTTCGCATATATAGTGTTTTTATTGCATTATTTACCAGCTGGCAACCAAAAATTACACACTTTTTACATTTTTATTCATTTCAAAATATTTTTGTTAGGGTACAATATATTTTTTGGAAAAAGCATATCGAGCAAAATTTGGTATGCCACAATGCGTGCTAGAGTACTTTTCAAACTGGCAAAAACTTTCTACCCCAGACATAAAAAATAGCCATTTTCACACGGTAACAAGAGAGTTATGTGCACTGACGTCGCACAATACACGGGGTTATACCATTTCCCCTCTATCGAAACGTGACCGCCACAGGTGGGATGAAACCCACGACCTTTGGGTCAGTAGCCGAGCACCCTAATTGCAACACCACTGTGGCTATTTGACATAACTGCCCAACTTCACCAATTAAAAAGGTAAGTAATTTTACTTTCTCAATTGTTGTTTAAAACTATGTCTTTAGCGATCTTAAAATACCTGAGGCTATAGAAGAAGTACTAATTGTGAAGGCATCTAACAAATATCGCATTTCCATAACTTTTGAGGATTTCAGACACACCTCTTGAAACACTGCTTATAAAACCCTAGGTGGCCAGATTAATATACAGCACTGTACTATAGAATCTCTAATAATCAGACAGTTTCTTTATGGTGTATTTCCCAAGCAATGGCAATAAATTAAAGGCTCTTGCTGCCTTCCGTAGTTCATCTTTTAGCGTCGGTTCTCAATAGTGGTCAGGTAGACATGATCTTCTTAGACTACAGCAACTTGACTGCATTCCTCAAAATAAATTAATTCAAAAGCTACATGATTGACTTCCCCCATTTTCTTATTTCCTAGCTTTCTGCCTATTTAAGCACCCGCTATTTCCTAGCTTTCCGCCTATTTAGGCGCCCGCACACAATATGCCGAAATAAAGAAGAAAACATCAGGCACTCTTTTGGTATCTTCAGGCTTGTCCCAGGGCAGTGTCCTGGGGCCCTTTTTGATCCTCATTTACACAAATGACTTAGTTTCAGTTATTATTGAACCAATAAGGATAGGCTTATTTACAGATGATTGTATATTATACAATAATATTGATTTTCCTGACAATTAACTTGCACTTAATGTAGCCTTCTATAAAATCCTTTCATGGTGTGATGAATGGATTGATTGATATGTGAGCTTTAACATCCCAAAACCACGATATGATTATGAGAGACGCTGTAGTGGAGGGCTCCGGAAGTTTTGACCACCCAGGGTTCTTTAACGTGCACCCAAATTTGAGCACACGAGCCTACAGCATTTTTGCCTCCATCGAAAATGCAGCCGCCGCAGCTGGGTGTAATGAATGGGACATGAAGCCCCCTCCCCTGATAAGAAGGTACTTCTCCGCATCACAAAAAGACTTTACTCCCTTATATTTTCCTATTCTATCAGTCCTCAATCATTAACTGAGGTACTGGAGGCAAAGAGCAATCTTGTATGTGTTGTCCTTTGCTTGGTCCCTCGCCTTTTGCGCTGTTTCTCTCCAATATGTCGTACCAACAACCCCAAGCAACCACTTTAGCTTAACTGAGAATACGTACCTTGGTGTTACTATAACAAATAACTTAAGTTGTAACACCCATATTGCTAACAGATCTTTTGCTGCTCTTTGCAAGCTTTCCTTTAGACGACACAAGCTTAAAAATTCACCACCACATGTTAAAAGCCTGGCTTTTGAATACCTGATCTGGCCTAAGCTTGAATATGCTTCTATAATATGGAACCTAACATTAACGTGCTTGAAAAAATTCAGCTAAAGACTACAATTGATTTTTTTTTATTCGGACCCTAGTTTCCTGTTACGTCGTTTATGGAATCTCAACTGATTTTTTTTCATTACAGTCCCGGAGTTGGATCATTGTTTAATGTTTTTGTATTCCTTGCTTAAAATCGAAAACCGAGACTCGACCCAGCACCATACTCATCTCCACTTCCATCGTGGCGCACTCGTCATACTCATATGCTTTCTATAACTCCTTATTTGGCCAGAACAAATGTGTTTAAATTATCATTCTTTTCGCAAACAATATTTGCAGATAGGAATGATCTGTCTCCTGACCAATTACTGTCCTTAGCACAGTCAAATACCTCCTCCTAGGCTACTTTGTAAACGGTCTCTTTTCCCAGTGTTAATAAGAATTGGTTTCTTTTCATTTGCTTGATAACTTGGTTCACTGCTATACTGTATTCACACTCATTTATTTGTATTGCCTTTTTGCCATCTGTATTGCTTTCATTTGTTCTTTCAGATTCGATTAGTATGAAGGGGAGATGCTACTCGAAGACACTTTTTTGTAATATTCACCCTAGAGCAATAAAACTTGAGGTGTTTATGGAACTTTTCATGTTGATTTCAAATATATAATTACCGTATTTACTCGATTCTACTGCGCCATCGATTGTAACGCACGCCCGATTCCCACGACAAAAAAAAAAACAGAAAAAACTAATACATCGATTACAACGCGCACCCATTTTTCTCGTTGGCCAGCTTGATCACACCACTCGGGAAAACGACTCCTTTTGAGAGCGTCTTCCGTTTAAATATGAGGTACGGGGGAAGCTTGTGCCTATCTGACGTGCAACGGAGCATTGCTGTCACTCTAGTTTTACCGTGGCCCAATGTCAGCACACGAACTTGCTTCGCCCCCTTCTCCTTGACGAATGTGGTGCCAGGCATGTCGAAGTAAAGAGGCGTCTGATCGGCATTCCCGATTCGCCCAAGCAGGTAGCCGTTGTTGTGCCGCAAGTTTAGGAGGAACCTCTGAAGACTCTGAAGCTTTTCTTTGTACACCTCCGGCAACTTCTGGCATATGCCCGTTCGCCTTCGGAGGGAAAAGCCTTTCCTCTTCATAAAGTTAGTTAGCCAGCACCTGCTCGCTTTAAACTGGCTCTGCATTAGCCCTTTTTCTAAGGCTAACTGCATAGCCGGCACTTGGAGCAGTT